ACTAAAGTTTTATGAAAAGATGGATTTTATACCGCAGCATTTGGCAAAGTGCATGATTCTTTTCCTTTCTTGTCTTTTCCTTTTTTTAAGATTATTATTTATCATATATTTAAAATTTAAATAAAAATATGCACAAACTTATTTCCAATTTATAATTTTAAAATTTATTTGTATATCAAATTGATGGACTCAATTAGTTAATAACTTAAAATTTTAATATAAAAAATTTAAAATCAATCCTTAAACATGATAAGTAAATGAAAATGACAATTTCTTCTTGCATGACTTATCACTAACTCTACTATGGAAACGAATCTAAGATCGTAATGATTATCTTACTCTTCTTTTAGGAAAATAAAATAAAATAAAAAGTATTTAACTATCTAGTGCTACAATGGGAATGACAAACTAGGACCCATGTTTCAAGTGTGTTATTCCCAATCCCAAAGCACACTTAGCATTTGGCAAAGTGCATCTATAGTAATGTCAACAATGTAAGACTAAAGTTTAATGCAAAAATGGACTTTAAATTAAATATTCTTGCAGAGTTGCAGTTGGCCAAATGAAAATATTCTTGTAAAACAATATTGTAGATATGAACCTAGAATTGTTTCTTATGGTATCTTTATAGGGGCTGCAGTAGATTGCATTTTGAACTGCTCAAGAAAACTGAACTCAACTATGGAATCGTTGACTAGTTATTCTCCATTTTCATTCTCATAGACCCTGTACTTTCAGCTCAAGGCCTTGTGGCTTTTTAGCCATTGTAGTGGGTTTGTGTCTCCCCTGTTCCCTGATCAGCTCAGTAGTCATTGTCAATAGCATAAACAATTAAGCTTCGCCAGATGAAGTGGAATGGACCCTTGAGTTTGGCCAGCCCAATGCGCCTTAATGCTCTTCGTCCACATCAGGCAGGTTCTAATCCTGCTCGACCCTTGTGGCTTTAACGACATGATGTTGTATATATGTGTATGATGGATTTGACTTTTGAAAATATCTTCTTTACCTTATAATTTCCCCAATTATGCGCAGAAGATTTTGCTGAGGAGGAGTGAGCAATGGCTGTTTTTTAAGGTATTTTGATTTTGAAGTGTGCTGTAATTTTTTGTTATCTAGTGACACAAATGATATTGTATTAAATTTCATTATAACATGTTGGAGTACCATTTGTATTATTATGATAATTTTTTTTCAATAAAAAAATATTCTTTATCATATAAAAGTTGATATTTGGTTCACCTTAGTGTGTTGAAAGTTTTTTTTTTTAAAGACATTTTTAACCTTTAAAATTAAATTAAAAAAAGGAAGATATAAACATGAAATAATTAAATGCCTCAAATTTCTAAGAATTTTAATGTTGATATAGTTTAATCGAGGTCATGCTATCTTAACATTGGAAAAAAAAAAAAACAAAAGCATGTTAAGTATGCTTAAGAATACAATGAAAGAAGTATAGTGTGGAAGTGAAAGGTAAGCACCATGACGAAAATGTTGACCACAAGGCTATATGGTTCCATAGCCACCACATTCTAGATGTAGGTAGGGGTACTATAGTATGGACGACGGTCCAATAAAGTGAAGACCACTTTCCCTTTTACCCTCCTTAACTTCATAACGGGTAACGACTTTACCTGTCGAACTAATCATGTAAAATCGTAAAATAAAAGAAAAAGAAAAAACCCACGCATTTAACTTGTCCTCTTTTCATATATTAGTGATATTTGTTTTTTTTATTAATGTTTTGGTATTCAATAATTATATTAAATTTTAATTAATTTAAAATTGAGTAACTTACATATTATTAGAGGAAGTTTTTTTCGGTAAAAAACTCTCTCAATACATGTTTCTCCATTCACAAAATTTAAATTCAAAATCTTATTTAAAAAGAACTGAACTCTTTCCATTCGAATTAATAAATCGTTGGTGTGATTTTTGTTTTTAATTGTGATTAAATTATTTTTAAATTTATTTTACCCATATATTATATAATTTAAATTCATAATATTGATTTTTTATAATAATAACTAGATTGCCTATATTCGTTATAAATTAAATTAACTCTAAATAAAACTAGAAATTATAATTTTACCAACATGTCCACGTCATTAGATGGGTCCATCATCCATGAATCTACCATGGTAAGCCAGTGAGATTGTCATATTGTACTAGCGCACATGGCGGTTAGGTACGGGCCACGTGAGAGGTATACGGTAATGACACGTAGAGAACAAGACGAAGTAGGAGTGGGCGGCGCACGTGCACATTGCACGTGCCTAGCGTGGGATTCACGGCGCGGTGAGGTTGCACGTGCCTTGGAAGGTCCAATCAGTATTCAAAACTTTAGACTTCAGAATTTTTGTTGGTCCATTAAGAAGGGCTGGCAGTCTACGAACGGCAGCGTAACATGATCTACAACTAACAAAAGAACAAATTTTGTTTTTGTATGCAAGTTATTATAGGGGCCAATATGACTCATCGCAATTGTTTGATTTATATGCACAATTCATTTCATGCATTGTCTTGGTAGTGTTTGGAATGGTTGAAATTAGAGATTTGTTGTTAGTGATTTGGACAAATTAGACAAATAAGAAAATATTTAGATCATAAATATCCAAAATTATTGAGGCTGTTTAGATTAATTTTTTAAGTATAATTGATAATTAATATTTAATATTTAATAGCTGATAATTCTTTTCAAAAAGTAAAAATAAATGCCTCTATTAACTATTATATATATCAATTATATAATTGCTTTTGTAAGATTAACTTATATTAATTTTATAAGCCATAAACACATTTAAAGTTTAATCAATGTGAGAATTGAGAATTATTTCAATTAATATAGAGAAAATATCCATTTATATATAAAATCTCAATCGTTTCTCTTTATTGATTAAGATTTGTTATGATTTTATTTGAAAAAAAATTTTAATCATTAAAAATAAAAAAATAATTAATTAAAATTTTATATAAATATAATATATAAAATTTATATGTAAATAGATCTATATTCATTAATATATAGATTTCTTCTCAATTAGTTTCACAAATAGCAGTAAATTAATTATCTCCTTGATAGACATCGAGTATAGCAGAGAACCTTTTTTTTTTTTTCTTTTGAAGGGCAGCCCTCACCCAGGGATGAAGTTACAATTCCATAAATTTATGTTGTCATGATTTTTTCTTGTGCTGCATTCTACCACGACATTATGTGATGATATGACCTAATTTTCAAAATTCTGTTGAACTTTTTTTTAGTGGTTTGGGCCTGGTGATAAAAAGAATCCTTCACACGTGATAAAAATATAAAGAAATGAAAAATATAAAAATATATAAAGAAAGAAACTTTTTTTTTTTAATTTCATTAAATATATAAGATGTTTATTTATAGATTTATATAAGAGAATATTATATGATACAAAATCAATTAATCCAATTATATCAATTAATTATAATGTGAAATCAATCAACATAATTATAATATGAGTATTCTGTAACATTCCCTCTCAAACTCAAGGTGATGATAAGGAGATCGGCTTGAGTTTAAAAAGAAGAGTGCGAAAGCATCCAAGAAAGTGAGTTTTTGGTGAAAATGTCTACATATTGAATATACAAATCGATGCAATTAGACTTGGCAAATGGGCGGATT